TTTTTTTTATGTTTCCTATACTCCTAATATCTATGTATGTATATATGAAAATATTCTTTGGTTTATGTAACTAGTTACTGGGAAATTGTAGCTGATATCTTCGCTTGTATAGCCCTTCCATTTACTTACTTGTACGTTGAATATTTTAACATAGTCTTAAATGATATAAAGCACATTATTGTATGGAACATACTGCGGACGAACCTGAATATTGGTTGTTTAAGCGCCGTTTCATGCCTTCTAAATAAATATCACGATTGAACAAGCCAGCCGCTAGTGGTAGTCTGCAAATATATTAACAATGTTAACAAATTAAGTTCTTATAACATATTCGGTATCATACGAGTCTGTTCCCGCACGTATTTGGGTCCTAAATAACGCCCACACAGGTTTGTGATCCGATGTGGTAATAGACGGGACTGAGTCATAAAGCAAACATTGGACATGGGGCTGATATGAAGGAGCGCCAGGCGTAAACGTACTGCTCCTCCGCATTCCTAAGCCCTGTGATTGTCGATACTTATAGAGAATGCGATCTGTATACGCAGGTGCGCGTTGCTTTGAGGATGTATCGAAATGCTGAGTTCCAGGATCATACTAAAATTCAGCACAACAAAGTAAAATTAAATACACAAACATTCATTTTTACCACGCTTATTTTTAAATAACAATTGGCACCCACCTTATAAGTGGGTGGAAATGTTATATTTGCTTCCATGAAGCCACGAAACGCTGCGCCGTCCGCCAAAACTGAAGATAGTTGGTCGGTGTGCATATAACCGTGAGGTAAATGAGATGGAAGTGGAAATTTAGTATTTTGAATCCATTCCAAAAGCTTTTCACGTGGTTCACTAAGTCGGAAATTAAGATCACCACACCAGAAAACATTATCGAAGTTTTGAGTAACATCCTTATTTTTGTGCCGCAAGTTCAAATTTTTGGGCAAATCTAAAGCGTGGATGATGCGTTTCACATCGGAGACACGTTCTTTGACCTTTTGTTGGTGCGCCGTCAAATGTGAAGTAACGAATAGCATTGACGTCCCAAAGATGCAGAATGATATTGCAATGGCACCTTTTGTACGAAAAGCAGATCCGGTACGAACTGACAATGAAGCGTCTTCTGGAGCTGAGCAGTACCAAATAAGATCTCTTCGCATGTAAATCGCCAAATGAAGTGTGCCCAAATTTGTTGAATGGAAAAGTACATGTGATGGGCCTAGGGTCTCTTGTAAAGTCACTTCCCATTCAAAGCGATCGGGACTCGATTCTTGTGTGCCCATGGCTACAACATCTGGAAGATGTTCAACAGACAGTGGTAAAACGAAATCATTCATTTGCCTGAAATCACAAGATTTGAACAAATTATCGCATTTTCCTAATTTTTCTCAATAAAATTTTTTACTTGGGCGGATTTTGACCATTCATATTCCAGGTTCCAACGAAAATAGTTATCTCTTTATTTGGCAAAACGCGGTCCAATTCAGCTGGTCCAAGCAAAGCTGACGATCCCAAGTGTCCGTCCAGAAAACTTCTGATGAATTTAAACAGTATATAGGTATGTACATATGTATTTTATGTAATAAAAAGTAGCATTTATTTAATGTTTACGTATGTCCTAATAATAATAATAATAATAATAGATTGGCTCTTACACAATATTTTAGTGCCTGACCGATCTTCTCCGCCAATTTGTGGCGTGCGCCTTAATGTTGTTACACAAAGGAGAGGGTCCTACAGTTTCACGCCGACTCCAAACGGAATTTGTATTTTTATGAGACGCTTTTCATGGCATTGCCTGCCGAGGGGTGACCGCTATTAGAAAATACTTTATTTTTTTATGTTGTACGGAAACTGGGCTCAAACCCAGGTCCTGCAGAATGGTAGAGCGCAAAACTGAACACTACACCACAGCCGCCGCCATATATACATATGTATGTGCAACAAAAAGGAATCAACTTACGTTGTTCTCTGATTCTGTAAGCATGTTTGTGGTATTACTCAGTCGGCAAAATGAGGAGCGTTTAGGAAGGGATCTTTCAATTAGACCTCTTTGGAAGCTTTATAACAAGATCTTCCAATAGCGTTTCCATTCGAAGGCAGACAAGAAGATGGGTTTCCAAGGCAGTAGAAGTCAAATAAGTATCTTTTAATAGCACTGCCATCGGAAACTCTGGCCGTTCCATACAAAATGAAAAGGAGTAAAGAATCGAGCAGGGAAGGCCTATCGCTTTAAAAGATCCGGTATAAGGGCTCTAGGAAGGCCGTTAATTTTGAAATTTTGCTGACTTAGTATATTCTGAAGCAATGTAAATAAAGCATTGTCTTTTCAAACTCTGAGTTTCTGCAATGTTCTTAAATACAAAAGCTGAAACTCGAGTTTGCGGCGCAATATGGAAATATATCAATGGCATGCAAAAGACTTTTAAAATTCAAATTCTCTTTTAATTTAAAGACTTTAATGAATGTATTACCTTTCTCGTGCTTTGTCCGTTGGTATTAAACTTAAGACCTGTGCACTAAGTAGAGCACGTCTTGCTAAGCCCACTTGACTAGATTGCAGACGTTGCATTTGAATATTTTCATGCGAACTAAATCGCACATTTTGTGCCTCATATGTTTCCATTTCTCTAGCTATCTCCGGCTGCATCGCAATGTTTGGCGAAGACATGTGCTGCGGTGTTGTAGCTCGTTTTATATCATTAGCAGTGGGTTCTAAGGGTGGCAGCTCTTTACCAGGAGGATACAGTTTCAATCGCAGACGTGACCGGCAAGCAGAAACTGCCAACGGTCGTATCGGTCCGCTGCAATTGGCATTTATTTTATTATCAGTAGGCATTTGTTCACTTCGCCCACTTTTGAGTGATACATTTGACGGGCTGCTATGCGACGAAGTAAACATCAGCTTCGCAGTAACCGGGGATTCAGGTGCACTTGAACATTCTGTTATATTAACGTTGGCAATTTTACTGTCACATTTTGGCAATTGTATGGTCGTATTCTCATCAGATGACTGCAATGAAATTGATGTGTTATCTATAAAGCTCCAACCTAAAGTTGGACTATCGCGTTTGAGCATAATATTGTTTGGGTCCGGTATTGAATTATAACGAACTGTTACCGGAGGTGTAGTAGGCTTCTTTTCTGCTTTGCAACATAAACTAAACTGGTGACTGAAGCGATTGTGATTGGGTGACCGATATTTGGTTGTCTTACGTAGTACCACTTCAGCTGTGCCACCATCGCTTTGAGAGCCATCAATACTACGGCGGTGAACCTGTGAATCTGGCGTTCTACCAATATTACCGTTGCTAGTCAAGCCAGAAGACAGAATAGTTTTACTCTTAACTGATGAAGAATTTCCATTGTTTTTCAAACCAGTATGAATTTGTGGAGAATATGGTGAACGCTGACGGTCGATTGAGCATTTGGCGAAAGTCACATCGTGACTATTGTAACTGCCACAGGCTGACGAGGGCCGCAAGTCAGGAGGACGGTGCTGTCTCTTTGGTTCTTCTTCATGTGGATGTGGCTCTATCCTGCTCGACCGCTTTGTCAAAAAGCCCAACAAAGACAAGTGTTTGTGTGGCAACCTCGGGCTAGGACTGGTGCTTGCAATGCGCTCATCACTATTACATTTATGCATTGTTACTATACTTCTGTTTTGAGACACGATCCTGAGTAGCTTTAATCAATGTGTTTTGTACTTCTCGGCGTTTGCTCATATTCTTCAACATGTACGCCAGCATTTGTGTTCTTTAATCTTCATATTGGTCGTATCTAAATACTCATATGTACGTACATACATACATGCATATTTGTACTAGAATGGCTCATTTCCATTACAATTAATTCAAGTGCGATTTCATTTTACACAGATTCATTTTATAACACGACTTAGAATACGCTGTTTTTCCTCCCGCCGGTCACTATACCAAATTTGTCCTTCAATTAACTACTTATATGTATGCTCACATACATACGTACATACATCATTTTTTGTTTTCGAACATCTTTGCCTTTATAAGAAATATAAATTATTTTTATCCATATACATATGTATATATGAATTAAGCATACCTCGTTTAGTTCTTTATGTACATTGGAGTAGTTCACGAGTAGTTGTCCAACATATAGGCGTAGAGGGAGCCGTTTTATATATTCTACTGGACTGTTTTTTGTCTTTCACAACGTGCTATTTGAAAATCAATATTCAGAAACAAATCAGATGTTTGATACGTGTACAAAATATATTTCCAAGGTACCTGCTTGTAGCAACTAAAGTTAACGCGTAATCCCTCAATGAGTAGTAAATATAATTTACCGAAATTTTAAAACAAGAACACTATTAAATGCTAGTTTATTTCTTTGATATCCTTTCAGCATTTTGTGCGTTTTTTTTTATATAACAACAAACAACAACAATCTTTGATGGGTTGCCAAGGAATGCTGCCGAGTTTGAGTTTTCGACAGGACTGAAAATGCAAATAAAAATAAATAAAAATATTGCTGGAAGGTGATACATACATATGTGAACTTAATACCAAAATTAACCAATTTTGAATTAATACACTTAAAAAAGAACAGATTAGCCATACAAAATTTCTCCCTCGTTAATCAGTAATAATCTGGTTAGACCGATAATTTTTCGGTGTCTAACCTGTGTTATCGATTATTTTTGAGAGTCGTCATATTTTTGAGAAATGTCAAATTTAAAAGTAAACAAAAATGGAGGCTAGCAAGACAGTGTTGCCGTTTTATTTTTCTAGCGGAGTGAAATGAGGCAAATGGTGGTGTTTTTAGGTTTTCTCTAGTGTCGAAAGTGAAAACACTGGCCAAAGTAGTTAAAACGATTTTCCACAACAAGTGATTCGCTCTCC